AAATCCCACCACCAACCACCTTCTTCCTTTCTACTCTGTCCCACAGGCCTGTCTGGTGTTTGTGGAGCATTGTGTCTACAGTGTGTGTGTGTGTGTGTGTGTGTGTGTGTGTGTGTATGTCTATGTGTGTTTGTGTGTGTGTTTGTGTGTGTGCGTGTGTGTGTGAGAGTGTGTGTGTATGCACATGCGTGTGTGTTCAGGGGTGAGGTATTTTCACTGCCCTCCCTGGAAAGTCCCTTGTAAGCTTGGTTCCTCCATGGCTGTCCATTATCTGTCTCCTTTGCTTGTGTCCCAGAACAAAGCCGCGTGCCTCACTCAAGCGGTCTGGGGAGGTTTCATTTAAAAATGAGGGAGCAGGTGAGCCACAGGTAACTCTTTCTTATCTCTGAACCTGCCCGCACACTGGGGTTACAGAGATTCTCCAAGGACAGGCTGCAGAGCCAGACCTGGGAGGGGCTGAGGAGCTTGGGACTTACCCCTCCTTGGAAGCTGGGGGTGGTCTGGGGTAAGGCTGGGGCTTCCTGGGAAAAGGAAGTGCAGGGGAGAGCAGAGAAATAGGCCCGAGTGAGGCCCCCGCAGGAAGAATTAGTGCCTAGACGTGGAGACTGAGAGCTCCACCCTTCGGTCTGTGCTGCATTCACTGTCCAAAAGCTGCCACCTGTCCCCGTCGCGGATGCTGTTTTCCACACTCATCAACTCGCCTCGGCTCCCACTTTCTCTCCTTTTCTCCCTTTCTCCCATTTCCCCATCCTGCCCCTCTCTGACTTCTTTCACTTCCTTGTAGACTAATCCACTTTAGTTACATTTCTATATTTAGGATTTATACCCAGCCTATTTCCAAAAATGTCTTTAGGCCACCTTAAAATACAGTCACTGCTAAAAGCACGGGATAGTACAAACGGGGATTAAATCCATAGAGAGGAACTGGAAAGCGTTTCTGCAGCGGAGGGCGGAAACTGACGCTGAGCCTGTGGGCAGCCCGGGCAGAGGGGAAGACATAGTGAGTTATGCGCTTCCCGGTGTCTGATTAAGGAAGCACACAGGCTGGTCAAGTGAGCCAACCTCCTTTTAGGCATTAAGTTCTAGACAAACTAAGTCTAAAAAAGTATCAAGAACAATATACAATTTTTGTCTTTCTTGGTGGTTTGGCTTCAGAGGCAAATTTTAAACCACACCCCCCCTTTTCTCCATCAGAATTCTTCTTCCTTAAAGCTGGCTTCTCTCTTGCTCCCTTCTTCTCGTTCATACTTGAGCCCCCCTCTTTCCATCTTTTCCATTCTCACTTTTGTGTTGAAGCTAATTGTATTATTGTCTGTCTTTCTCTGCTTTCCCCCACCCCCCTCCTGACCCCTGTAGACATTCCCAGCCATCATACATTTAGCCTTTTCTTCCCTTTCCCTTCAGCCCTGTATTTATTACTGCATATATATCCCGTTTGTTTTACAAACAAGTTACTCTTTCTTCTTTAGTCCATCAGGTGGCTAACATTTGAGGCTAGGGGAACAATTTAGCCTTAGGCAAGGGAAAACACCAGTGATACCGTTTACAGTAACCTTGTACAACCTCCTGTTCCATCTCCTGGTCCAACCCTGGGTATTTCACTGGTCCTCTGCAAATCCCAGCGTTTATAGTCCCTTATCACTCAGGTGCTAGGAAAACACAAAGACTTCAGACCAAGATTCAGTGGACCAAGTGAAAGAGGTGGGTGATAGATAACCAGTGACCCAAAACCTATGGTCTCAGTCTTTCCTGGAGGCTCTTGACCAATCCAACCCACATCCCCCCTCGCCCACAAAGTTATTCTAGGGTAGGCATCTGTCCGGATAGAACAGCAGCAGGGTTAGAGCCCAGAAGTTGCTACATTTCAACAGAAGAGGGATCCCTGGCTTATCCAATGAGCAGTCCTATATGGAGATGTGGGACTGGACACCTGGGCCTGGCAGGGAAAATTGAAGGGTGGGGGTGCTGGGTGCTGGAGAGGCCAAATAGGATATTGATGCTTGGTGGCCCAAAACCATGATCTCAGCCTCCCTGGAGAAGCTGTTTTATATGTCTGGTGTCCACACCCTCAACCGTTCTCAACCCCCCTGCAGGGAGAAGGCCTCCTGGGCACTGTCCTTCCACCTGTGCCAGCCACCCCCTGCCCCACTGCTGAATGAAGGCCATTTCAAGTGCTGCTTCTCCCTCCATTCCTCTCAGCTGTTATTGCTGCAGGGCCATGACATTTTTAGGGCTTGTCTGTCCAGCCCACCTCCAAGCCCCTCTCAACCCTCGGCAGGTGGGAGGGGCCAGCGGCCTCTTTAGGACAGCTGCTGCTTCCATTTGTCAAACACCCCTCTCCTCTCAGTGGAATGGAGTTCTCGTCAGCAGTGCCTCCTCCATCGTCTGTGTCAGCCGGTCCCAGCCCATCTGTAGGGTGAAAGAACTCACCGAGAGCTTCTTCTGCCCTTGCAAACCCATACCAGCTATTTGTACCCATCTCCAAGAGGAATGGCATTGCTCCCTGTCCATCTGCATGAGCTACTCTTGACTTCCTTAAAGGGTCAAGAAAGCCACTTTTCTGCTTGTCAGATTTGTTGACGTCAGCTGTGTGAGCCCCAGTGTGGGACAAGGGAGTCCCCTTCATTGCTTAAAGCTTACTTATAAGGATGGTCACTACAGATGTGGGGGAGCAAGGGCTAGGCTCACTTCTTTAAAAAATCACCACTTGTGGCTGGCCCAGAGTGCGGTTACACCCCCGCCATAACCCCCCCCCCCCCTCATCATGCAGCCACTTAAGAAGAGTGGTTTTCCTGAGAAGACATTTCTGGAGTTCCTGACCCTCAAATTTAAAAACAAAAAAGAACTAAACACAGATACAAAACCCCAGAACCCTACAAGGTGTGAACTCCAAGAAGAAAAAAAGCACCCATCAATCCACTTAGCAATAAGAGGGATCTCTTCCCACCTACCCTGACTCCTACTCCCCACCTCTACCCCGTTAATGTGAGTAATGAATTAGCCTGGCCACAGTTAGTCACTGTAGGCTAGTGGAAAGTACCCAGTGGAGGGCAAGGGCCCCCATCAGATGCATGAATGTTTGCGAATGTCGGCTGCCACTGCCCCACACACTGTGTCTTTATGAAAAATGCCCCCCCCCGTGCCCACTCCTCCCCATCTCTACCTGGATACAACTTGCTCAAAGGCTGGTGACTTGTGGGCCATTCACCTACAACCAAGTCCTGATGGAGCAAGAGGCCCAAGCCTAGGGGATGCAAGAACGACCCATTTCTTAAATGTTACCAGTCCCAGCCAACCTTTTGGTGACATTATGGTTAAATTTCCCAATTGAAAACAAGCCAACAGGCATTCAAACTGGTTGTGTAAATGTTGCTAGACTTTATGTGTTGTACAACTAAACATTGCTGTTTGAACAATACCTGCCTGGCCTGTGTCTTATTTGGGCTCGTCACTCCTTGGCCAAATAGCCATTACATCACTTCACCTGTGTGTGGAGGGTGGGACAGGAACTGTCTTGGTAAGCCACAGAAATTCAGGATGGAAAACAATTTGTGAGATCAGTCCATCTTTAGTTGGCATGAGGTGGGACCCCAGTCATTATTCACTGGGATTTTGTATCCAAAATGAGTGATGAAGCTATCACACTTGATCTTGAGGGATGCTGTGCTCTGCATAGCCTCACTCCATCAATGAAAACAATGTTTCTTTTCATTCAGCTAATTTCCTAGCTTTTCCCCTCCTTTCTCCTGAAGGCATAAACACCAAGTATATCAAAGGAATGAACCCATCTTACCTAGAGACCTGCCTATTTTACAGCGAGTACTTTAAGAATTTAAACTTAAAGCACTAGCTTGTCTCTCGTCTTTTCTGACCTTAAGCCAATCCTTCCTCTCTGAGGATCATACTCTCTTCTGCAGCCAGCAAATAACTCTGACCTGCATATTATTTCTCTGAATTTGAATGTGATGACTATATATGCAATTGCGTTTAGGGCCTCAACATGCTGTAGGGTGAGTGCAAGGTACAAATGAACAGCAAAGGATCAAAGCTGGAGGAAGACAAATCAAGAGGCTCTTGGAGTCATTCCAGTAAAATGACAAGGGCTGGAACTAGAGTGCAACACCTCACCCAGATGGAGAGACGTGAGATGATTTGAGTGACAGAGCAGTTTTGCAAACTTAAAACATTGCAGCTGAGAGAAACCTAAGAGTTCTTCTTGTCCAATGCTTTTATACACATATGGAAACTGAAGTCCAGAGAACATAACCGTCTTGCCTGAAGTTGTACACTTAGGTCCCAACGTAAGATGGAGAAGATGTCAGTGCTTGTTTTACTGCTTCATACCATTCCTACTGTACTTCATTTGTTCTAATAGTCTTGTACTTAAAAAAAAATTTCTGAACTCAGTATACAGCTTACAACTGATGACATGTCCGTTATTTTGCAACTTTTTTTCTTAGTGGTACATTTAAAACTGGTGCATCTTGTAACGGACAGCATCTTAATTTGATGAAATACAGTAGTCCAGAAGATGTTAACGTCTCTTTGCTTGAAGCCCTCTGGGGCTACTACTCTTGAAGTTTAAAGGAAATAAGAATATGTACAACATTTTAGTCTTCAAAGCAATTCCAGTATAATATATCCCACTGGATCCTCACAGCCACCCTTTGGAAGTGGCAGGGCAGGAATGATGGACGCTTTCTGCAAAGAGCAGCAGCTTCCTGACACGAGCTAGGGAGGGCACGGGAAACTACTGCTTTTAACTTGATTCCAGTCAGGACCAACTCAAGTCCATACCTTAGGGTAGCGTGGCAGCCATGCGGGGCGAGGACGCAGGGGCCAAACGCACAGGTGGTCCTCCGACAACTGCCCCTCACGTGACCAGCCGCCTCGCCCACTCACCACACGTCCATGCGCCATAATCTCCGCCCACCGTTTCAGAGCCCCGCCCCGCGGCTTGGCGCAGGCCCTGCCCCTTCCCACCTGAGGGGCGGCAAGAGGGGCTGGAGGAAGATGGCGGTGAACCAGAACCACACGGAGAACCGCCGCGGGGCCGTCATCCCTTATGGTGAAAGGTGCCTGAGGGGAAGCCCGGGGTGCTGATAGAGTAGGGAGGAGGCAGCCGGACCGGGAAGATCTGGCGACTCGCAAACTCTCAGCGAATCAAGGGCTTTCCCACCCTTTCCGGCGCGTCTTGCTTAGCTCCGCCCCCACGTTAGGGCGCGCGCAGCCTCGCGGTGTTCCCGGACGTGTAAGTGGCGGAGGCGGGAGCGTGTGGCCTCGAGTGTGTGAAGCGTGGGAGCCCGTCTCCTGGTGTGTGAGGAAGGTGGTGAGAGCGCTCGCTGAGCTCCTCATAATCGTGCTCTTCTCTGCTTCTTGCGCTCGTTTTCCTTTGAGCTCGCCTGGCAGTGCGGCCCTGAAACTCAATGTTGAGCGCAAGTGGGTTGCGGTGAATGCGTTTGTCGGGAAGATCCATTAAGACAGCGCCAAATGCTGATGTCAAGATCTTTTTTCAGCGCTTTCTTCCTCTGATTATTTTCTTGGCAGATTTATATGGGCCGCTAAGGCTGTATGTCTTCCCTTGCTCTCGGGAAGAACCTCTGCTTGCGTTCTTCAGTTTTGTAGTAGGAGGTGATTGCTCGATCTGATGGGGACGGCTGGGTACGCTCTGGCGCAGAGCACTTTGCCCTGGGTGCCTGTGACTCTGTGCCATAGCACGTCTAATCTGGAGTTTGGGTGTCTTCTCACTCTGGCTACTGGATTGCCCCTCAGCTTTTCTGTTTGTGTGTTGTAGGCAGGGGATGGAGCATGTTTTTAAAAAATTATAACCAGGGGCCTGCAGAGTGGCTCAGTTGGTTAAGAGCTCGCTCAAGAGTGCAAACTGAGCAACAGTGGTTCAAGTCCCAGTCCTGCTGAGCTGCCAGCAGGTGGCAGGATGGCTCAGCTAAAAAACAAAACAAAACTGATTTTATGGTCCTTTGAATTATCTTTATGGGATCCCTTCTGTGCTCTTGAATACTTAATCATAGCCAAGCACAGTTCTGAGAGTTTTATGAGGTCAGACAATTAAGTTTGTGAACTTGTTGCAATGATGTTGCTAACTTCATTTTGCTATCAGAGGGATTATTCATTATGAATTTGTACCAACTGGACAAATAGTTAACCAGGTTTACTATTTGGAAGTGCTGAAAAGGCTGCGTGGAAAAACTTAGATGAAAACGGCCTGCGGTTTTCGCCAACAATTCATGGCTCTTGCATCACAACAACGCACCAGCTCACATGGCACTGTGTGTGAGGGAGTTTTTAGCCATAAACAAATAGCTGTACTGGAACACCCTCCCTACTCACCTGATCTGGCCCCCAGTGACTTCTTTCTTTACCCAAAGATAAAGGAAATATTGAAAGGAAGACATTTGATGATATTCAGCACATCAAGGGTAATACAATGACAGCTCTGATGGCCATTTCAGGAAAAGAGTTCCAAAATTGCTTTGAAGGGTGGACTAGGGGCTGGCGACGGTGCATAGCTTCCCAAGGGGAGCACTTCGAAGGTGACCATAGTGATATTCAGCAGTGAGGTATGCAGCACTTTTTCTAGGATGAGTTTGCGAACTTAATTGTCTGACCTCGTATACTTAAAACTTCTCTAGCCACAATGAAGATCAGTAGTATTTCCCTCATTTCGCAGGTGGAAAACAGAAACAAGGAAAAGTAATTTGCCTCACATTATGTGGCCAGTGTATGTGAGAGAGCTTTGATTTGGGCTTGGTTTAGGTACTTGTGCTTTAACTCCTCTACTCCTTCTGTCCCTCAAAAAGGAAAAGGACTGCTGCTCTGCTTTCTCCTCATCAAAGAAGGCCCTGTCAGGGCTCTGGCTTCCTGGATAGAAACTACTTTAAAGAAAGGGAGAGGGAGAAGGTTGGTTATATTTTGATTTCTGCCTGTTCACAATGCACGCTTGAGAAACTCATCACAGTTTGGCAGTGTTTTGTGGAGACGTTTTTTCCATCACAGCTGAGAAGACAGAAATATATGGGCCAGACTCTACTGGTAAAAAGGGAAGACATTGAGGTGTTTTCCCCCCCATATTTCTAACACTTGTGCAGATAACAATACCATATGTATTTATTGTAGAAAAGTTAGGGAAAAAAATTAAGTTACCCTGGATTCTGACATCTAGTGTTGTTTACATTTTGTTATGTACCCTTCCTCACTTTCTCCTATGGAAAAACATTCATTTCTGCCACCCCACCACCCCCAACTACTTTGTAACTTGCTTTTCTCATTTACCAATATATTGAGGATGCTTTCCAGTATCAATATCTACATCATTATTTTCTTTCTTTTTTTAATTAAAGTTTATTGGGGTGACAGTTGCTAGCTACATCACTATTTTCAATGGCTGGTATTCTAGTGTGCATAAATGGCTGGGACATCCCAGCTTTAATGTGTCATTGCTGTAAATATTGCTTCAGTGACCATTTTTGAAAACTTATCTTTGCCTACCTGTCAAAATGTTTCTTTGGGATATATTCCTGAAAGTGGAATTGTGGGATCAGAGAACATAGACTTTTATAAATTGGTTTAAAATACATTTTTTAAATATAAAAATTCTTGTAAAAAATATTAATATATAAATAGAAACATATTTTTTTGCAAAATCACCCTACAGAATGATATCAGTGTACTTTCCTCTCAGTACTCTGAGTGCCCATTTCACCACAGTCTTGCTGACACCTAGTGTTAATCTTTGACATTTCTGTCAATTTTGATATGTGAATAATGGAATCTTTAAGAAAACTTTATTGGTAGTACACTTTTTCTTTATACGGTTATCGGCTATTTGTAAGTCTTTGGCAGATTTTCTTGGTTCATAAATTTTCTCCATTTTTAACCAAGTAGTTCATTTTTTGGTGTGGTAAAAAACACATAACAGAAAATTTATCATCTTTTCCATTTTTGAAAAATGAAAGTTGTATATACTTAAGGTGTACAACATAATGATTTAATATACATATACATAGTGAAATGGTTACTATAATCAATCTATTAATATGTCATCTCCATACACAGTTACCATTTTTTATGTGATAAGCACATCTGAAATCTGTTCTCTTAGCATATTTCCAGTGTTAAACACAGTATTAGTAAGTATAGCCATGCCTGTTAATTAGAACTCTAGACTTATTTATCCTACATAACTACAAATTTGTACCCTTTGACCAACATCTCCCATTTCCCCCACCACCCAAGCCCCTGGTAATTACTGTTCTACTCTCTGCTTCTATGCATTTGACTTTTTTGGGGTTTTTTTTTTTAGGTTCAACATATAAGTAAGATCATACAGTATTTGTCCTTTTTCTGGGTTATTTCACTTAGCATTATGTTCTCAAGTTTCATCCGTGCTGTATGTAGCATGTGACGGGATTTCCTCTTTCTCATGATGAACAATATTCCATCTTCTTTATCCATTAATTTTTTGATAGACACTTAGGTTGTTTCTGTATTTTGGTTCTTGTGAGTAAGGCTGCAATGAACATAGGAGTACAGATATTTCTTTAATACCCTGTTTTCATTTCCTTCGGTTATATACCAAGAAGTGGGATTGCTGAATCATATTGCAGTTCTATTTTTATTACATTGTTTGATTTTTTCATATGTTGAACCATCCTTGCATTCCAGAACTAAATCCTGCTTGGTTGTGGTGTATAATCCTTTAACGTGCTGTTATATTTAGTTTACTAGTATTTGGTTGAGATTTTGTTTTTTTTTTAAAGATTTTATTGGGGAATTGGGGGAGGGGAACAGCATTGGGGAATTAGGTAGGGGAATAGACAAGTTGCTGTCCTTTTGTTTTTCAGTCTAGTTATAGAGGACGTTGCTTCACTGGCCCATGTTGGCATCATCATTGTGCTCTTCCCGGGTGAGGTAGATTGGTCGCCGGCCCCTGGATGGCTGCTCACGGTGGCTCTTGGCAGCTCACGCCAGCTGCTGGCCACTCACGCTGGCTGCCAGCCACTCATGGTGGCTTTACAGCAGCCCACTGCAGCTCCACTGCAGCCCCACTGCAGCCTATGCGGTCGCCGGTAACTCACGGCAGCCCATCTCCAGGTTGAGCTGTTGTTCACCATCCCAGCTGTAGAGGGCAGCGTCACTGGCCCTCATGTGGGATCTGAACCGGGGCCCTGCTGCTCAGAGCTGGCGTCCCAAGCCAACCCCTAACCAACGTGCCAATCTGCCGGCCCATGGTTGAGGGTTTTTGCATCAGGATTTGTCAGGGATATTGGTCTGTAGTTTTTAGTTTCTTTCTTTCTTTCTTTTTTTTTTAAAGATTTTATTGGGGAATTGGGGGAGGGAAACAGCATTGGGGAAGCAGGGAAGGGGGACAGACAAGTTGCTGTCCTTTTGTTCTTCAGTCTAGTTGTGGAGGACACTGCTTCAGTGACCCATGTTGGTATTATGATCATTGCGCTCTTCCCGGCTGAGGCAGTTGGTCTCCAGCCATTGGATGGCTGCTTATGGCGGCTCACAGCAGCTCTCACTGGCTGCTGGTCACTCACGCTGGATGCCAGCCACTCACAGTAGCTCACGGCAGCCCACTAAAGCAGGGGCTGCAGACTACACAGTGGCCGGCGATTCATGGCAGCCCAGCTCCAGGTCGAGCTGTTGTTCACCATCTTAGCTGTAGAGGGCGCAGCATCACTGGCCCTAATATGGGATCTGAACTGGCGGCCCTGCTGCTCAGAGCTGGCGTCCCAAGCCAACTCTTAACCCATGAACCACTCGGCTGGCCTTAAAAGGTGTTTTGTATCCCACACCACGACCCTAGTTCCAGTTCTTATTACCTCACATCAGGACTATTTTAAGAACTCTTAAATGGGCCCCTCTGATATACCACCACCTCCTTGACCATGTGACAACCCTGCTGAGACAGCTGCAGCTCCCAGTTCCTCCTTGCCTATGATATCTCTAAGCTCTAGTCCCAGCATGGCTTTCTAACTTCATCTCACTATTCCTCCCAATCTCACTTCCACACTGTTGATTAATCCACACCGGTAGACTGCTCCCAAGTATGTAATTTGCTTTTTACTGCATACCTCCACTAATGCTGCTCCTCCATCTCCATTAATGCTGTTTGGTCCCCATCAGGATTCTTCACCTCTGCCTACTGAAACGCTATTAATCTCTTAAGAATCAGTTTAAATTTCAACCTCCCTATAAAGCCATTCCTAACTACTTCAACTGAAACTAATCTTTTCCAATTAATTGCCATAACATTTTTGTGCCATTTCTGTAATGTATGTCATATACTGCTTGCATTATTACCTGTATTCATGTTTTCGTTTGCTCATTCTTTCAATATTTAGTAACACCCACCATTGCTAGGGCTACAGTGGCAAAGAAGGCAGACATTGTCCTTAATGTTGAACAAATAAATATAATAATCACTAAGAAAGAAAGAAAAAATCGAATAGAATTCTATCAGTGGGAGTAGGATGAGTCCAAGTTTTTCAGGTTCAGAGTGAGGGGAGAACATGGCAGGCAGAGAGAGTGACATGTCAGGATTCCAGAGCACCCTGCACGCCTTCCCTTCTTTATCAGAGTCAAGGAGACATTTCCATTGGCACAGTGCTTGATAGTTACTGCACAAGAAGTATAAGAATTAATGAGTCAAACATTAAGAATAGAAGTAGGTTTGATAAGAAAAAGAATCCAAAGATAAAGAGGATCAGCAAATAAGATCATTTAATTTCTTTTTATTTCCTCAAAAGTGGTAGTAGCAGCAGCAGCTAACATTGAGTGTTAGCTCTGGGTTAGGAACTGTGCTAAGAGCTTTATATTTGTCCCTTTATGTAACATCTTAAATATGTGCTGTCTGCCCTTTCTCTTCTGCAGTGTCTTGAAGCAGTGTCAGGATGTGGAGCTCTCCTTTCCACAGCAACCAGAGGGATCCAATTTCTTCAGTGGTACAAAGAGGGGAATATTGTTTCTCACTTCACACAGGGTAATTTCTAGTTCTACTTCTACTTTGATTAAATCTACATTATTCTTAAGATGGAGAGTTAACCATTGAGTTTCAAAGTGTTTTAAAACATTTGCACTTTGAGAGTTTCCATGTTGAAGAACAATGGAAGAAAATGGGTGGTGGTTGCCAGGATGCCAAAGCAAATCTCACCTTAGGATTGCTGTTTTATATGTCTCAATTCATGGACAAATTCCACTCTTTTTCCAAATCTTTCCTCTCTTAGGTAATCTTTGTGACTTCACACTCAGCCAGTGATCCCATGTTTTCTTTTATGATGCCATTTGATCTGATGAGTAACTGTACCATTGAACAACCCGTCTTTGCCCCCAACTACATTAAGGGAACCATTCAGGCAGCTCCAGATGGTACGTGTTTACCCTCAGAAGTGTATTTTTTTTTTTCCTCTATATCGTCCAGAAGGTTTAAGATTCAGATTTAGCTCATGTTGGGATCCAAACAAAAGCTGCCCTGCTTCTCTGGGTAGTGTTTCTCTCGGTGTGTGTGGTAGTCCTTCTGGTACCAGCTGTGCCAGCCTCTTAGTGAGTGTGTGACGTTTCTATCCCCAGGTGGCTGGGAAGGACAGGCTACTTTTAAATTAGCCTTCAGAAAAGGAGGTGCCATCAAATTCGGCCAATTGATGATGAAAGCTGCCTCTGCTGGTAAGCGATCATGATAAAGATATTATTAATAAGCACTTTGGGGTTTTTAGGCTTGTGGAATTGAAGTAGGACTGCTACCCAGTCAGGGTTTTCTGGCCTCTGTGTTCAGGCAGTTGGTAGTTACACATGTATTCAGCAGCCATTTTCTGAGTCTACCTACTATGTGCCAGGTACCATACTACCTGCTGGGAACACAAAGATTATTCAGTCCCTCCCTGTCCTGCAGGAGTCTGCAATCTAGTGGGAGCTTCCAGTCAGACACCTGAGTGATTCATTGTACCTGATAGTCTTTTGTCCATCTACATGCTGGTCTCATGTCACTGAATAGTCTCTTTTTCAGGCCAGGGAGCTGCCGTTGTCTTGCTCTTCCCCTGGCATGCCTTTTTGTCATCTTTCTCTGGCTTTGCCTTCGCTTCTCTTAGGTTAGTCCTCATCTTCCATGAGAGAAGGAAAGAGATGCTGTCAAGCCTTTCAGCACTGCTCTAATGAATGTACCAAAGACCTCTTTTAAACTTTGATTACAAATAATTTTTATAATTTATTTTTATTCGATCTAGCCTCATTTCATGCCCTTCACTCTCTCGCTTTTTGTACTCCAATTCAGTTGGACATCTTTGTGCCTTGTTCTCGCATCTCTGAGTCTTCATGCTATTTGCTCTGTCTGGAATGCACTTTCCCTTTCTACCTTGCCTTCTACCCCAACTCCAGTCTAGTTGAGACAAACACAATCTAGTAAAGAGACAGACATATGCAAATACGTTATCCTAACTTATGGCATGTGCTGTAATAGAAGCAGGGACAAAGTGCCGGGACACACAGAAGGATGGAGTGAAGATTCTAGCTTAGAAGATTGACTGGATCATGATGCTATAAACCATGGTTAAGATTAGAAGAGAAAGTCTAAGTTGGAGAGGAAATAATAAGTTCAATTTTAGACATACTAATACTAGCTAACATTTATTGAATGCTTACCACACACTTGAATATTCCAAACCCTTTACATGTGTCAATTTATTTAATCCTCATAAAAACCTTATGATGTAGGTACTATCATTATCCCCAACTTATAGCTGGGGAAACTGAGTCAGCAATGGTTACATAATTCCCCAAGACTATACAGTTAGCAAGTGATGGAGCTGGAGTTTGAACCTTAAACTTACCTACTGTTTCTCTTTTTAAATACTTTATTTTGAAAAAATATATATAGAAAAGTTGCAAGAATATTACAATGAACTCTCATGGACTATTTATCTAGATTCACCCATTATTAACATTTCCCCACATTACATTATTATTATTATTATTATGATGCTTTTTTGTTTTTACTGACATATTTCAGAGCAAGTCACAAAGATCATTTCCTTTGTTCCTAAATATTCAAATGTTCTCCTAAGAACAAGGGCATTCTCTTATCTAACCTCAGTGTACTTATCAAATTCAGAAAATTTAACATTGAAACATTGCTATTATTTAATATATAGTTTATTCAAATCCAAATCATTGGTCCATTACTGTTTCTGATTCTAAGCACTTTTCCCCCCACAATCCAGGCAATCCTGGTTCACACATCGACTTTAGTTGTCCTGTTTCTTTGACCTCCTTTAATCTGGACTCAGATTTTCTTTGTCTTTCATGACATTGACATTTTGAAAAGAATACAGGCTTATTGTTTTGTAGAACGTCCATTATTTGGGTTTGTCTGTTTCCTCATGAGACAGCAGAGAGGGGAAGAGAGTAGATCTTACCTGGGAAGTTTTCATGGCCCAGGGCTGGAAGCGGTGTACATTGCTCCCGGTCATATGCCATATGACCAGAAACTAGTGTGGTAGGCTGATAATGGCTCTCAAAGATAGATCTCTGTCCTAAGCTTCAGAACCTGTGTTACCTTATTTGTAAAAGGAATCTTTGCAGGTGTAATTAATAAGGATCTTGAGATGAGATTACCCTAGATTATCCAGGTGGGCCCCAAACGCCATCACAACGTCCTTAGAAGAGAGATGCAGAGGGAGACAGACAGAAGTGCTTTCTTCTGTGCCGCACTTCCATTAAATTGGTCTTTAATGGATATATCTTGCCAACTTGATAGAATTCGTTGCTTGAAAACTTTTTTCTAAGTACCTGTTATGATAGGTGTCCTGCTAGACCCTGAATAAGCACAGGCAAATAAGCCACAATCTCTGCCCTCAAGAAGCATAGAGTTCAGGATAAGGGCGGTGTATATTGTTTTATCTTATATCCTGGGAACATTGTTGGACACTCATGAAAGGTGATGGTTAATGACCTGTTAATTGTTTGGTTGATAGCTGCTATATATCTGACTTACAAGAATTAAAGTCTCTGTTTTGCTAACCTTGTCTTCTCAGCTGCCCAAGGAGCTCCACTTGGAAGTGTAAATTACTGGCTTGGTGCTCCAGGACTGTATTTCTTTACTGGGCAGGGGAGCATGATGTGCAGCCAAGAGGTGCCTTGTCCAGGTAAGGTATGGCGAAGAGGTTCTTCCTAAGAGGTGAAAAAGTATGCCAGGGACGCAACAATCTATTCACTGCTAGCTTGTTTCCAACTCTGCTGCAGGAGAAGCAGCAGAGGTTTGGGGTTGGGAAATGTTTGTGTTCATCACTTCATTTCCAGACTGAGATCCAGTGGCAAGTCAGCAACTGACTGGGCTTGGGTTTCAGGCTTACTTTTAACTATAATATATGAATATGGACACTACCTGGGCAACTCCCATTAGTGGGAACAGTCACCTCCTGCTTATAGCCCGAGCAGAAAATGTAGACTCTTGCCAACTTCCCCCTTCCCATTTCACACAAGCATAGCCATCAAGCTTGTACCATGCCCTTCAACCTCACTAAGTACTCCAGCCCTGGGCTTTATGCCCTCTACCCTTTAACAGTTGTGCCTGTCCACAGTTGCCGAGTCACGGTCCTGGGAGGTGATAGATCAGTGATTGTCAAATGTTGTCCACCACCTACTGGTGAGCCACACAGGGTCTCCAAACAAGCTACCAATAGACCTCAAAACTGCAGGCCCTTTCTTGGGTTCTTCTTGGAACATGATGTGCCTGTCCATTGATGTTTAGTTTTGTCTATGAATTTTTAAGGGTTATTAAAATCTAATGCCCCAAATCTAAAAGTAAGTGTTGCTAAGATTTTGTAAAACAATTTGTTTTTTTATAAAAAAAATTTTATTGTGTTGAACTTCACATAACATACAACCAACCATTTAAAAATGCACAATTCAGGGCCGGCCGAGTGGTGCGTTGGTTAAGAGCTGGCTTGGGACGCCAGCTCTGAGCAGCAGGGCCCCGGTTCGGATCCCACATGGGGGCCAGTGACACTGCCTTCTACAGCTAAGATGGTGAACAACAGCTCGACCTGGAGTTGGGCTGCTGTGAGTCGCCGGCGACGGTGTAGGTTGCAGTCCCTTCTGCAGCAGGCTGCCATAAGCTACCATCAGAGGCTGGCAGCCAGCGTGAGCAGCTGGCAGCTGGTGTGAGCTGCCAAGAGCCGCCGTGAGTGGCCGTCCAGAGGCCGGCGACCGATCTGCCTCACCCAGGAAGAGCGCAATGATAGTACCAACATGGGCCAGTGAAGCAACGTCCTCCACAACTAGACTGAAGAACAAAACGACAGCAACTTGTCTGTTCCCCTCCCCCAATTCCCCAATAAAATCTTTTAAAAAAAAAACACGCACAATTCAGTGCTATAGGGCTGTTGGAAATGTCATGACTTATTTTTTTCTATGTTTTTCAAAGGTCATTTATATAAAGAACAAAGATCAATCAATGATATATTGCCCGTTTTGTTTAATAACTTTTTGCCACCTTTCAGTGAGCTTCATAATTTCTTGTTCATAGAAGGACCTGTCTTTATTTGCGAAAAACTGAACAAGGTGCTGATTTACAGCCTCATCTGAATTGAACGTTATACCACACAAGGAGTTTTGAAGAGAGTGAAACAAGTGGAAGTCTGACAGCGCAAGGTCAGGCGAGTATGATGGGTGTGGCAACACATCCCATCCAAGCTCCAATAATTTTTGACGGGTGATCAAACTTGTGTGTGATCTCGCATTGTCGTGATGGAACACAACTCCTTTATGATTAACTAGCTCTGGACGTTTCTGGATGATGCATTCGTTCAAACTGTCCAATTGCTGACAGTACACATTCGAATTGATTGTTTGGTTCCTTGGTAGGAGCTCGAAAAACACAACACCTTATAATCCCACCACACTGAGCACATAACCTTCCTCTGATGAATGTCTGCTTTGATGTTGTTTGAGGTGAGTCATCACATCGGGACCAAGACCATTTGCGCACCACATTGTTGTAAACAATCCACTTCTCATCACCAGTTACCAGTTGCTTCAAAAAAGGATCGTTTTCCTCATGTTTAATGAGCATATTGCAGCTATTTATATGCGCTGCTGTCAAATGACCTTTGAGTTCATGAGGGACACCCAAACATCAAGCTTGCTTACGTATCCCAGCTTCTTCAGGTGGTCGTGAACGCTTGAATGATGGATGTTCAATATTTCTGCAATCTCTCATGTTGTGTAACGTGGGTTTGACTCAATCAATACCTTTATTTTGTTGTCATCAACCTTGGTGGACCTCCCTGACCGAGGAGCGTCGTTGAGATAAAAATCACCAGCATGGAATTTCGTGAACCATCGTTGGCACTGACATTCTTGTAGAGCATTGTCACCATAAACTTTACGCAACTTTTCACAAGCTTGACGCGCGTTCTTCCCTTTACGGAAGTAAAACAGTAAAATATGGCGAAAATGCACAGTTCGGTCTTCCATCTTAAACTTGTAAAATCTCCAAAACTCAACCAATCGCTCAATTTTTTTTTTTTAAGATTTTTATTGGGGAATTGGGGGAGGGGAACAGCGCTGGGGAATCGGGGGAAAGGGAACAGACAGGTTGCTGTCGTTTTGTTCTTCAGTCTAGTTGTAGAGGATGTTCACTGGCCCAAGCGGGCACCATCATTGCGCTCTTCTCAGGCGAGGCAGATCAGTCGCCGGCTTCTGGACGGCCGCTCACTGCGGCTGCTGGCCGCTCACACTGACTGCTGGCTACACACGGTAGCCCATGGCAACCCACTGCAGCAGGGGCTTGCAGCCTACACCGTTGCCAGCGACTCACGGTAGCCCAGCTCCAAGTCGAGCTGTTGTTCAGCATCTTAGCTGTAGAGGGCAGTGTCACTGGCCCTCATATGTGGGATCCNCCGAACCGGGGCCCTCTGGCATCCCAAGCCAGCTCTTAACCAACGCGCCACTCGGCTGGCCCTCCCCAATAAAATCTTAAAAAAAAAAACAAAATTGTACAGTTGTTATAATCATGATTGTATAAAAATATTAACAGATATTCTTCTACAAAGAAATACACCAAAATATTAAGTTATTGTATTTGATGATGGCATTATGGATGACTTTTAAAAATTCATCTTTTCTCTATTTTCCACATACATATTCCTCATTAAGCATGTGTTACTTTTTTTCATAATCCAGACAAAGTTTATTAAGTAAAACATGTACCTACCTGTATACAACTATAAGTAATACAGAGATATAACTACAGAGTTATTTTCATGTTAATTTCCACAACAGGAAATGATAAAGCCTTCAACTGGTGGTGGCTAAAGGATCTGCTTTACTATTATTCTGACTGGTTCTCTTCCTGTGTCACTTATTCCTTGTCCACTCTAAAACATAAATAACTGATTTGTTTTTCTTCTCAGCATACCCAGTTATTATGTATGGGCCCCAACCTGTGAGATATGGAGCCCCATCGGGGGGATACGGAGCCCCACCAGCGGGATATGGAGCCCCACTAGCAGGATATGGAGCCTCGCCTCTGTTATACGGAGCCCAACCTACAGGATATGGAGCCCCACCAGCGGGATATGGAGCCCCATCGGGGGGATACGGAGCCCCACCAGCGGGATATGGAGCCCCATCGGGGGGATACGGAGCCCCACCAGCAGGATATGGAGCCCCATCGGGGGGATACGGAGCCCCACCAGCGGGATACGGAGCCCCACCAGAGGCATCTGAAGCTCTGTCTGCAGGATATGGAGCCCCACCAGAGAGATATGAATCTCCACCTGTGGGATATGGAGCCCTACCAGCAGGATCTGAAGCCTCGCCTGCAGGATATGGAACCCCACTAGCTGGAAATGAAACCCCACCTTTGGGATATGAAACTGCACCTACCAAAAATAGAGCCGGGTCTCACAAATCTGCAGCAGCCCAACCTGCTGAATATGAGGCTTCTCTTCCTTCTGCCTCATCTACTCAGGCCCATTCACCACCATCTGAGAAGTAAACCCTGAAGACTTACCAAGCAAAGTAGCACCCTGAAATTGAAGTCAGGATAAGGACACAAGTATGTGTTTAAAGGCCTTTCTCAAGTAGTTGTTCCGCCCTTTGGAAGGGCACTCTTAGGGGGAAGGTGAAGGTGTACTTCCATGCCTCAACTTTAGAAGCAGAGTCAACTCTTGATTAGATGGGCTAAAGGAGAAGCAGACATGTAGGGCTAATTCCCCAATAATTTGGTTGATGTGGGGCCACATTTTTCAGCATACCTTGAATGTGAGTGTAAAAAAGCTTTCTGTCTGTCTCCCCTCCCCCATCCAAGAAACATTATGCTCAGCTTGCTAGGCACTAAGGTGTGTGTTAAAAATATCCCATTGAACACTTAGTTATTTTCCACAGCATTATATTAGTGAAAGGATGAAACCACCTAAATTTCCAACAGTGAGAGAGAATTTCATAAAGTATGGTATACCTCTATAATGGAATATTATGCAGCCCTGAAAATGATGTCTAGAGGTGGGGAAAGCCTTTAAGAAGACCAAAACCATTGAACCAATAAAGGAAAACATAAATAAAATATAAATTCAATTATTTAAATTTTATAATTCTGTATGACCAAAGTTAAAAGATAGGCAATCAGACCAGGAGAAAGTAATTTCCAACAAAGATGTATATTAAACAATTTATGGTCAGAATGCATGAACTCCAACCCAAAAGAAAAAAATGGACAAAAATATGAATTCCCCATTAACTGAAGCAATAGAGTAGTCAAGAAATATTTGAAAAGATACTCGTTCAACTTGACTAGTGTTAGGGAAATGCAACTTGAAATGAGAAACACTTTTTATCTCCAAAGATTTACAAATATTAAGATTGAAAAACCCAAGTGTTAGAAAGGATGTGGAGGAATGGTTATTGTTATACACTATTGGTGGGAGTGTAAGTTGGTGTGCCTTTTTAGAAAGAAATTTGGCAATACCTTTTAAAAGTTAAAATGTATCTACTCTTGATTTAGTGGTTTTACTTCTCAGTATCTATTCCTGAGAAATACTTGCACATGTGCAGAAAGATGTATATGGGAAGATTTCATCACATTCATTGTTTCTAACAGCACAAAATTAGAAATAATTTATATGTTTATTAATAGTAAATATTTAAACTATGGTACATCCATGTCACATATGCAGAAATTTCTAAGTGTTATTGTTCAATGAGAAAAGCAGGATGTAGGGAGTATATACTACATAAATTTTCAATCCCATCAGACTGAACGACCCCTTTTATAACTAACATTTTGTAATGTCTCCTTTACTTCATTGGAGTGTAATTTGTAGGCAGTTGCACATGACTCCACACCATTTCAACCAAAATCAATATAATAATATAAATGTGATATAAACAAGAAATAATAGAAAAGTAGTTCGTAGTAAAATGTTTAGTATTTTAATATGTAAATTCTCAGATTCCACCATACTAGAAGACATAATGAAGTAATCAGGTGGTAGCCAGGTTGCCTCTGGGTTAGGGAGCTGCATGGCTGGAGGAGAGGATGGAGAGGGAGACTTAATTTTTTCACTATAAATTAAGTGCATGTGTACTATCTTCAGAAATGAATTATTTTAAAACTAAATAACAGAGGCTCTACCTTGCTTATAAATTGTTCAATGGCTCCTCACAGCCTTCAGGATAAAAGTCCCAACTCCTGGTTTTCACCTACACGTGAATCACATTGTGCTCCTTAGTATTCAAGGCCCTGCTCAATCTGGCCCCTGCAGTTACCTCTCCAGCTGTGGGATCCAGCCGAGCAGAACTAAACGCAGACACAGAACTGCATGGCCTCTGCCTCTGCCTCCCCACTACCTTCTACTCATCTTTCAAAACAGCCCAGAAGTCCCTCTGAGAAGCTTTTTCCGAGCTCCCATTCTAGGGTAGTTGCTCTTCTGCCGAGCTTGTACCCTTAGCAGGTTTCTGGAGAATACTGTGCCAATCCCATTGGGATTGTTTGTTTGCATGTTCATCTGCCCCGTAACTTGTGAGTTCCTTGAGAGTGAGGCTGTATTTCATTGCAGGGGTCTAATGGAAGGCATGCACACTGTGTCTGGGAAACATTTGTCGAGTGAATGAAGACATGAATAAATTACATTATTTGTTATATACACATACAACATACACATACACACACACACACACACACACACACACACACACACACACACACCACTGAGTTCTGGCTACCAACTGAAGATTATAATTTGCAGAATCAGTTTTGTTTGGCAAACTGTTAGGATTAGAAATTAAAATTTCATATTTTAGAGAAAGCTGTCCTTTCTCTGACTTTTTGAGTTGAACAGTCTTGAAGGCATGATTATATTTCACCTCTTCCAACCTCACAGCCATGGTTTATGTGGTTCACAGTGGCCAAAGCCACCTCTGGCAAGATGGTCCCATAGAACTCACCCAGTGTTTAAAGGCCTTTGAGGGAGCAAACGACAATTACTGTAGTTGGGTGCCAGGCAGTGTGCTAAGGCACTTTATAAGCATATCTCAATCCATCCACTCCCCATCCCAACCCGGTGAAGTGGGCACTGTTAACACATTGTTTGCGGGAAAGGAGTAAACTCATCATAGCGCGAAACGAGTAAACTCGTCATAACGCTTTTTATACCAAAGCGCGGGAGACAAGTTAACTCAGGTATAGAGAAAAATGCCCGCTTACAAAGTGTTAATAGCTTCATTTTACAGTTAAGCATACTAAAGCTTGGGGGCATCAGGAAGCCAAAGAATTCACAGCTGAGTGATGGAGGCAGGACATGAACCCAGGCTGGTCCCAGAGCCTGGGACCCTAACCTCTGACTGTGGAACCGGTTTCCTAACATCCTCTTTTCATCCCACAGGTGCCGAGCAGTAGGAGGAGTTTCCTGTGCAAGTAGTGGCCTGATCCTCCCCCCACATCTGTGAGGTCCTGGTGAGCTTTGAGTCCCTTTTCCTGCTGCGGGCTTGATCCCCGTGTTCAGAGGGCCTGTGTCAAAGGCAGTAGCGTAGTTCAAAGGAGGGCTCAGGTTGCTCATGGGACCAGAAGATTGGTTCCAGATCTGCCGCTGCCTTGTAACTGGGCTGTGGGGGGTGCTGGGAGCCTGAGACCAGCTGCCTTTGAGCCAGCTCAGCTGGCACAGGAAAGAGAATCCTGAGATCTTTGAGTTTTTCATGGCCTCATGGCCTCATCCCTTTATCACAGTCCCAGATCTGAAGGCTCTGCTGCATTAATTGCCTTAATGGTGCCCCCTGAGTAAAGGGTACTTATGACGATGGAAGGTGAAGAGTTTAAGAGGGGCACTAATTGCGTCAAGTGCCTGGCCCATTTATTAACTATGTTTGTGCCAAGCACCCTGCCAAGCACTTTACATATATAATTTAGCAAGGTGAGTGCTTGGACCCCAATCTCATAGATGAAGAAACGAAGCAAACTGCCGAAGGCACACAGCTGACTAGGAAGTGACACGGCAGGATCTGAACGTAGGTTTCCCTTTTCATTCACACACTCATTCATTTATTGAGGGCCTTTTCCATGCCGTTTCTGTGTGCTTGGGGTATCAGTGACCAAAACAGACAAATTCCTGCTCTTATGGGGCTTACATAATACTAAGATGCAGTCAGTACATATTATGTTACATGATATAACTAGGCATATCATATTCAAACTGTAGAAAAAGCAAAAACAGACGTTGATAAGAGCTATGAAAAAATATAGAACAACGTAAGGGAGACTGGGAGCACTAAGGGGTTGGCAGAGGGAGCAGTGTGCAGTGCAGCCTTGTTGAGAAGTTAATATCTGAATAAAGACTTGAAAGATAAAGGAGGTGAGGGAACTGGCCATGCAGATACCTGGGGAAAAGTGTTCTGGGCCTAGGGAACAGCTAGTATAAAGGCAGCTTAATTCCAAGGTGCCTTCCCTTATACCCAGTGCCTCAAAACAGTTGAATGTGAGAAGACTGTTCTCAAGGAAGGAAAATGCTCGAAAACATTGCAAGCCAACCACAGTAAGAGATCTGAACCAGTCCATGTAAAACAGCTTGGGCATGGACATTGATTTCTGGGTCCTCGTCAGGTAACAGGCATCCTTCCTGTCTACATCTTAAGGACAAAAAAGAAGTTAAAGTAACTGAAGAGGCTGGGTCACTCTGGTTTCACACCCTCGATTAAAGTCTGCTTGCTGTAGCATACCTCTGCTGTGGTCTTGCTCTGTTTCTGAGGGCATCTGCTATATGGCCTGGTTCTGGTGCCTTGGGACCACCCAATAGGACAGCTTGGATGTGCCCAGTGTCTCAGCTTCCTGGCTGGGCTCTGTACTTGTCCTGCTTCAACTGTTCCATTATCTGGTTCCAAGAGAGATGGATCTTCTCAGTGCTAAAGTCTCTGGATCCTCTTGATGGAGCATTTGCCTAAGTCGGGGAAGTCTGTTTTCCGACTTTCCATGGAAAGGAGTGCCAGAATAAATCGATGTGAGAGCTTGTAGGCTGACCACTTGCTTGTTGTGCTGCCCAAAATTGTGCTGTCGGCTTCCTAAGGATCAGTTCAGGTTAAGTACTTACTGAGGCTGCTCTGTGCCAGCCGTGCTCTGAGGAATCTGATACACCCTGACCTTGAGGGGTACACAGACTGCTCCAGAGATCGACATTTGCATTACGTTTTGCAAGTGTCCACCCTGTCCTGGACCCCACATACCCCTAAAATATAGGATGGGAGCAGGTAGGTACCTCACCCTTGGTGTGGTCCCTCCTCCTGTTGGCTTGCTCTGAGAATCTTAACTTCCCTTGGTCCTCAGACTTTTGGTTTGGGCTTGGAGAACTATTTTAGAAATATTTATGCTCAAGCTTGGGCTTCTCCCTTGGACCCAATTCTGGCATTAGACCTCTGGCTTTTACCTGATGACCAATGAGAGAGAGGGAGAGAGAGAGGAGACTACTAATTTCTGACAAAAGTGTAATGATAGAGGTCTGCATGGGGATTAGAGGATGGGCTCTGATCAGCTTAAGGTGCTCCTGTCACCTTCCTGAAGAAGGGGATGCCTGCATTGCTTTGATGCCCCAACCAGGAAGCTCTTTGGTCTGGGTATGTGGTCCAGCCTTAATAAAGAGACCAGTTGTCCTGTGGTACAAATACTCGTTGCCTGCAAATCTTCTTGCCCTTTCACAGATTGATTCCTAAAAAGGAGATGAAGGTTTTCTTGTCTGGCATGTAAGGGGCTTGGAATTCAACACCCCCATCCTCACGAGTAAAAAGCTGAACATAGTAAAAATCAGTTACTCTTCTTAGGTCCATCAGAAGTCATAGGGCAAACTGATGCCTGCAAAATTGGTGAGATAGGTGGATACAGAGACTCAAAACTTACCCAAAACAAAAGCTCAGGAAAAGAACCTGTCAGTGGAGCCAGTAGGAGGGTAAGAGAACTTAAACTGTAATTGATGAACTAGGGGAGGCTCTGTGTAGACAAGCTCGAGAGTTAAAATTTTCCAGGGGTCCAGCCTTAGGAATGAGCCCAACATTTGTGTGAGTTTTACCTCCAGGAGCCCTACCAGCTCCCCAGAGTAAAGAGTGAAGAAAAATCCCTTGTGCTTCCAGTAGCGGGGGATTGAATAGTAGCTATTTTAGTTGGAGAATCCCAAACCCCTCTATCAGTAATGGACAGATCCAACAGGCATAAAGTCAGTGAGGACACAGTCGAACTTATCTGTTTACAAGGTTTTGTGTGGACATGTTTTCATTTCTTTTGGGTTTATACCTAGTCGTGGAATTGCTGTGTCATATGGTAATTCTATGTGTTAATCATGTGAGGACTTGCCAGACCATCTTCCACAGCAGCTGTACCAGTTTACATTCCCACCAGCCGTGTATGAGGGTTCGTTTCTCCACATCCCTGCCAATGCTTATTATCTCCCTTTTTTATTCTAGCTACCCTTTGGGTATGAAGTAGTATCACACTGTGGTTTTTATTTGCATTACCCTTATGGTTAGTGATGTTGAACATTGGCCATTTGCATATCTTCCTTGGAAAAATGTCTATTCAGATCCGTTTCACACTTTAATTGGTTATCATTTTATTATTGAGTTGTTGTAAGAGTTCTTCATATATTTTAAACAGAAGTTCCATATCAGAAATATGAATTGCAGATATTTTCTCCCATTGTGTGGGTTCTTTTTACTCTTTTTAATATAGGCAAATGATGGCTATAAATTTCCCTCTGATCACTAATTGCACTGCTAAGTTTTGGTATGTTGTGTTTTAGTATTTTTTTAAAGTTTTTTTTTTATTGGGGGAATTGGGGGAATGGGAACAGTGCTGGGGAATTGGGGGAAGGGGAACAGACAAGTTGCTGTCGTCTTGTTCTTCAATCTAGTTGTGGAGGATGTTGCTTCACTGGCCCATGTTGGTATTATCATTGCGCTCTTCCCGGGCGAGGCAGATGGGTCGCCGGCTTCTGGACGGCCGCTCACTGCGGCTGCTGGCCGCTCACGCTGGCTGCTGGCTACATACGGTAGCCCATGGCAACCCACTGCCACAGGGGCTGCAGCCTACGCCGTCGCCGGCGACTCACGGCAGCCCAGCTCCAGGTTGAGCTGTTGTTCAGCATCTTAGCTGTGGAGGGCAGTGTCACTGGCCCTCATATGTGGGATCCGAACAGGGGCCCTCTGGCATCCCAAGCGAGTTCTTAACCATCGCGCCACTCGGCCAGCCCGTGTTTTAGTATTTTTGATATGTTATGTACTCATTTTCAGTCATCTCAGAGTATTTGCTCTTGTATGTGATGAGTCACATGTCTTGCTGTTTTCAAAATTCTCCCTTAGTCTTTGCCTTTTGAGAGTTTGAATATGATGTGTCTAGGTATGTATCTTTTTTTTTTAAAGATTTTATTGGGGAATTGGGGGAGGGGAACAGCGCTGGGGAATCAGGGGAAGGGGAACAGACAAGTTGCTGTCCTTTTGTTCTTCAGTCTAGCTGTGGAGGACGTCGTCGCTTCACTGGCTCATGTTGATATTATCATCGCACCCTTCCTGGGTGAGGCAGTCGCCTGCCGGCCTCTGGACGGCCACTCACAGCGGCTCTTGGCAGCTCACACCGGCTGCCGGCCGCGCACGCTGGCTGCCGGCCACACATGTTAGCTATGGCAGTCCACTGCAGCAGGGGCTGCAGCCTACACTGCCGCCAGCGACTCATGGCAGCCCAGCTCCAGGTCAAGCTGCTGTTCACCATCTTAGCTGTAGAGGGCGCAGCATCACTGGCCCCCATGTGGGATCCGAACCGGGGCCCTGCTGCTCAGAGCTGGCGTCCCAAGCCAGCTCCTAACCAACGCGCCACTTGGCCGGCCCGGGATCTCTTTTGAGTTTCTCCTGTTGGAGCTCACTGACCTTCTCAGACGTGGAGATTAATATTTGTCATCAAATATGTGAAGTTTTGAGCCATTTTTTCAAATATTCTTTTTGCCCTTTCTCTCTTCTTCCATGTTGGTATGCTGCATGGTGTCCCATAGGTCTCTGAGCCTCTGTTCATTTTTCTTCATTCCTCTTTCTCTTCCTCAGATAGGTTTATTTCAATGGACCTACCTTCAAGTTTGCTGATTTCTTTTCTGCCTGGTCATGTCTGCTGACCCATTGAGGTCCTCGAATGAAATGTTTATTTCCATTATTGTACTTTTCAACTCTAGAATTTCTATTTGGTACTTTTCTATAACTTCTGTCTCTTTACTGATATTCTCTATTTGGTGAGACATCATTCTTATTCTTTCCTTTAGTTTATTAGATATGGTTTCCTTTAGCTCTTTGAACATATCTTAAATAGCTGATTTAAATATGATACTAGGGTAAAACGCTACAAAGCTTGCTATTCTTACCAAGATTCTGGTTTTCTTGACCAAAAGCTCTCTGGGTTGCTGCAAACCTTGGGTGAATTTCCAGAGTTCTATGAAAGTTGATTCTGATAATATGTGGCAAGTTTTTTCATTGCTTTTATGGAGGAAACAAACTTTTGGTAGTTCTTACTGGACCATCTTTTTGTTGACTCTTTGCATGGATTTTGATTCAAACAAACTGTAGAAAGATATTTTTGAGACAATTGGAAGAAACCAAATACAGACTGGTTGTTAGATTACCAAAATTTTTGTTTTGTTGGATAGGAAAATTGTATTATGGTCCTATATATTTTTAAAGACCCTATCTGCTAGAGCATGGTGGTGTTTATAGAGTATTCTTTGATTTGCTTTCAAATACTCCAGCTCACATGCAAAAAAAGTATGTGTGGGCGGAGAGATAAGAAATAATGGCACATGTTGATGATTGTTGGATCGGCTCATGTGTACATGGAGGCTTACTGTACCATTTTATTTTTGTGTTTTAAAATTTCTATAATAGTTCTTTTAAAGAGACGGGGCACTCTTGGGTCTAAAAAAGGCTTCCTTGAACTGGGAAAAAAAATAACTGAGTCCCTCATTGGCCTTGGGTAGAAGGAAGTAAAACAATGTCCTGAAGATAAGCAGGTGTGTGAGAGAATTAAGGCTAAAGAGATGGAATCAATTAGGCATCCCCAGGATAAAAGGACAAGTTATACAGCAAGAAATGTAACCATCTCTAGGTATGGGAGGCAAAGGAATTGACTGGTTAAGTCCAGGCTGATCCCTGGCCCCAACTCCCAAGTCCATGGTCTCCACCATTGTACTCCGCACATCCCAGGGTGGTGGGAAAGACTTCTTCCTTGGGGCTGGCAAAAGAAGTGTTCCCACCTGAGACCATCCCATTCGGCTTGAACAATATGACAAAGCCCCGAAGCTGAAGGTGTGTGTCCAGTGACAGGCCTTTGCGGGCAGAGGCCTGGGATGAGGTAGGCTCCTGTCCTCCTGAGGGACTCACAGCCTCAGGACATCAGCTGGGGAAAGGGAGCATTCTCTGATGACTGTCGATTCAGTCAGTGAAGCTCCAGTAATTTTGAGTGACACGGTAACATGTGCAGCTGTAAGTTCTTTACCCCATACTGTAAATATAAGAACCTCAAACCCTGAGGGAGCGAGTGTGGGAGACCCACCCAGAAGAGTGCCCACAGGGCAGGACAGGGCAAGGCCTGGGCACCAGGTGCTCCCACACTCAAAGCCCACAGAGAACCTACATAGCTTGCTCTGCTGCCAGCTTCCCAAATGGGGACAGGAACCATCAGGCAAGGCAGGTGCCCTGAGGCCTTAGCTAAAGGAGGAGGGCTTGGGCAATAGGAACCAAAGGGGAAGGCAGTCAAGAACGTGCCATTCTTTTTCTTTAATACCCTCTCCTTAGGAGGAGGAACAGGAAACATATTTTAAGACACAGAGTCCCTGAACTTGTCTTTGGATCTAGCTGGGGGATTTGAGCCTCCTCTGCAGTCAGGTTAGGAGACAGAAACCAGGGCAGAGGCCAAGCTGTAGGGTCCCCGTGGGAGAAAGGCAGAGCTGACCTCCCCTCACCCGCATCCAGCCCCGGAGAGCCACCGAATGGAGCCCTGGCAGAAAAGGGGTGATGAGCTGACAGTTGCCAAAGAATAGTGCAGAGTTCCTTAGCAGACCAGGGCCTTTGACTGCACAGCACAGGGGCTGGTGGCCAGCAGACCCTGTAACATCTGCATGGGGTGGGAAAGGATGCACAGACAGAGGGCCTGAGACCATTGCTGCTCTGCCTCAGTGTGCTGGGCGGAGCAGGGATGGCTTCCTGGAGTGAGGCAAGTCTGGACTGCTGAAGTATAATCTGCAAGTCGCTTTGGAAAGTGAGGGGCCTGAAGATGCCACACATTTCCACGTGAGGCAAGACTTGAAACCAGCACCCTGTATACTGCCATCCGGAGTCCCTAACGAAAGGTGTCCATGGTCCCAGGTCCATATTACAAGCACTTGACTGAAGAACAGCTTTATTGGTGACCTGAGGGAGCCAAGGTCACTCGTGGGCAATGTTAGCCTGCAAGGCCTTCTCCGGGCAGGAAAGCCAATCACACGATTCATGGAAGTTCCCGATAGGTCAGATCTCCACTCTTAATTATAAGAAAAATTCCAAATCCCGATTTCAGAGCCATCAAAAGAAGGTCAGAGGCTGGAGTCCTGACGGGTATCACCCCTCCTGTGGG